CTTACACAAAAGCTTACTGCTGCCTATCTCTTGGAAGCTCTGCAAAACAGCCAGACAGATTGATTTTTCCATTATTGCTATAGGCTGCTCCTATTAATATGTGAATAATACTTACTTGCTATATAATTAAATTGCCCAAACTATGCTAAATGAATACCCTTGGTCTGGGGGAAACCCACAGAAGTCAGGAATAACATCTCTCAATGTTACCCATAGTAACTTACACAGAGGTGTAAAAGACCTCATTCTTTAGTGGGAGGCAATGTTCCTTTCTTTCTGCATTGCGTTCTACATGAAGAAGATCTCAAAGTGAGCAGCAGGATATCTCTGAGTGTTTCAGTGTCAGTTATAAAGCCGTTAATTTATTTTAGTGCGTGCGTATTTTGTTTTTAAACTGTAATAGTGTTGCTTCAAGATTTAAGGAAGCAGTAGTGTAAATTATTCAAAACAATTCTACTGCAATCCAATCCATTTCCTTCCCTGCTAATATAAAATGCCCTGAATGGACGCTGTATTTTTTGTATAAATGCAAGAAATGTTATGATAGGAACTCCATGGAAGGAATGTATAAAAATATCTCAGAACTCCTATTATTGGCAGATCATTGGTGCGGTAGAACTTAGTGGCATTTTTCAAACAGCTGTAGGAAATCATGCTTTACAGCATGCTGAATGGCTTTAACGTGTAAGCTGTCATCTGAATGCATGCCTATCCCCCTGCACATAGGGAGCCAGTACGCGTTGTTTTTCTGTGCAAGGTCTTTGGTTTCTTTTCTGCTCCTCCTGTTTTCTGTCTGTCTTTCTTGGAGGAGTTTCTGAGGAAAACCTTAGGAAAAATTTCTCTCCCTAACACACAGTGTAGTGCACATAGTGCCCCATTACGTAAACTTCTTTAGCAATACATTGTGAAGGTAGGATTACACTGGATGGCTTCTGGAAAGTCTGGCTGCATTTTTTTAGAAACACTTTTCTGGCTAAATTTTTGCTTTGCTACACCCTTGCATATTTGTACCTACTTCCTAACAGGATCAAACAATGGCTACAATGTCTAGTCACTGCTAACCAGCTCCAGGATCTTTTTACAGCCCTCCCCACCCTACCCCTGTCAAATTAAAGAGTAACAGATGTCCAAATGCAGTTAACGTTGATCTGTGCTGCTACCTACCAACACACCGGCTACTGTACTTCTGTCCTCTCTCCACTTTAAAATCCTGCCACTGTAGACTGGAGGGACAGCATTAAAGTTTTAAATTTTAGGTAAACATGTGCTACCTTAATCTTCCCCTGCTCTTCTGGGTCATTCCTGAGCTTGTCATGGTGTCATTGCTACACATCTGCAAGTTAAATGCTTTTGGAAGAAAAAAAAAAAGTAGAAAGATATTGTTAATAATTCATATAAACATCCTTTGCGAGGCTCAGTGCTTAAGTTGATTGCTTTTGTGAAGATCTATAAGAACCAAGTGTTCTGTCACTTCAGTGAGTGTTAATGCTCTGTGTGTCTGTAAGAGCATGTGCTTCTCCTGGAATTTTATATCTCTCCCCTGAGTTACACTAGTTTCATGTTGGAAACAATAGTGATCCTGGGTAGTGATATGGATTAACTGAGTCAAGTGGAAAATTGAATCTTTGGAATAAGGACTAAATTCTACCTGAGATTTTCAGTAGCATCTATCACTCAGGTTCCATTTACTCTGACAGCAGCACTTTGAAGACACTGCATCTCATTATTGTTTAGGGAATGTAAGTAAAAGGCTTATGGAGTGTTTTGGCTAAGACATGTAAGTGACTGGGTATTTCCAGACCCAAATGAGCACTTTTCAGTCTGTGGGATCGACCTTATCACTGACCGGCATGCATGGAGTTCTTTGTGATGGGATGGGAAACTACTGATGCTGGTTTACAACCTGACATCAACACCTATTTTGTCTTGTAAAAAGCACCCAAAATTCATCCATGCTTATCTTCAGAATTTCTCCTGACTATCCTTCTTACTTTACAAAAATAGATAGCTCTTTTTGAAGATTCAGTTTCTTGAAGAACAGACATTTTCATGTTTCTTGAAAATTTCCATTAATTTGAGTGTATGTATAAAAGATAGAAAACTTACTAGTTTCTTAATGTCCTTGATAACACTTTATGTTATCAAGATAGTCTTTAACTCAAGATAAATAAATATGGAACTTGTAAGCTTTTTTTTTCTCCGTCTCAGAATTTAGAATGGATAAAAGGATCGTTTTTGAATGTGTGTAATAAAACTTGCTCTTAGGCTGAAACATTGTATTCAGGCTCAAACTGAATCCAGTCTTCACAGGCAACCTGTTAACCTCTAGGCAAGAAATAGGTAGAGTTGTAATGGGAATGCTGAAGAGCCTTAATAAAGCCACTCTACTGAATGACATGATGTCATCTATATATGTATACATATGCTGTGAGTGTGTTTCTCCCACTGTACACACAACTGAATATGAATAGGACAGCATCACTTCCAATACTGCAAATACAAACCACGTTGGTGCAGAGATTAAAAAAGGTGTTGAATATGATAAAATCTTTTATTGTAAAATAAGAATCCTATTTTGTAAGCCCTTCATTCTTTTTGCAGTACAATTAATTACTGAGTTCATTAATTAATGAACATATTAGAGAAAGAACACCATTACTGACCAGTGGAGACCTGATATATTACTGAGTCAATAAACTATTGAACATGAAACAGGACCTTCCAGGAGAATTTTTTCCTCATAACCCACAAACACATATATTATTCCTGCAAGATCAGCACTTCTTTGGTACCCTTGTATTTCACATTACTAATTCTTTTAATCACGCATACATACAGTGTTTTATAACCTAGCTAATGAGTAATTGGACAGGTGACATTGGGACTGAGACCCTGAAGTGTCAGACATAATAGAGCAGGATATTTTCATTGCCCTGCAAGGTTTTTGAGAGTAAAAGGTAGTAAAAGAACATGTAGGATATGTAAAATCACAGCTCTGTCAGAAATTTAACAGAGAAATACACACTTTAAGTGGATAAGTGAAATATAAATTGTTTTAAATGACTGTACGATGCAGATAAATAAGAGATAAGACATATAAAACAACTCTGAACTTTTAAAATAGTAACAAGGAGTTTAGCTTGAGCGAGTTAGCGTTGAATGTAATTTTCTTTAAATCAGTATAGTTAAGGTAATGCTTTTTTTTGTACAGATGGAATGTATATAGGGACTGTTAATTGTTTGGAAGAGACGAGCATTCGTAATGCTTCGATACCACTGTGGCTGTAGGATCTGAGCATCCTTCCCCCACCTTAGCCCCCAAGTAAACATTGATTGCATCTAAATCTATAAGATATCTCTTCCTGGCAGCTCTGGTAGTTACTGTAGATCATTAATCTGTGAATGATCAGAATAAGCCTCTGTCTCAGAAATCTCCATGCAAATTACATCTAAATGCATGCTGTAGATTTATTAGTAGCAGTTTGAAGTGCACAGGTCATCATCTATGCTATTAAAACATGTAAGTGTGTTGCACATTAAAAAACTTCCATTCTATTTGTATTTGCTGTGGGCATAGCTAGCCTCTCAAGAAAATCTGTGTAGTTTTTTAAATCATTTTGAAAAGGGAGGGGAGACCTTAATGAGGTGTATTATTTAAGCAGATCTCTTCATGGAACTGGAACTTTGGCATCTCTGCTTTGAAAGAATTCAATCTTTTGAAACATGCACATATTTTGAATGCCACAATATAAGAATGATATAAAACCATTAGAAAGCATCCAAAGGAGGACTACAAAGATGGTGAAGAGTCTGGAGGGGAAGACATATGAGGAGCAGCTGAGGCCCCTTGGTGTGTTCAGGTCAGAGCAGAGGAGACGGAGCGGAGGCCTCATGTGGCTACAGCCCCTCACGAGGGAAGTGGAGGGGCAGGGCTGAGCTCTGCTCTCTGGTGACAGCAAAAGCACCTGAGGGAACAGCATGGAGCTGTGTTGAGGAAGGATCAGGTTGGCAGTTAGGAAAAGGTTCTTAATCAGAGGATGGCCAGGCAGTGAAACAGGCTCGTCAGGGCACTGTCATGGCACCAAGCTGCCAGAGTTCATGGAGAGCTTGGACAGTGTTCTCAGGCATATGATTTTTGGGTGGTCCTGTATAGAGCCCATAGTTGGACTTGGTGATACCTGTCTGTCCTTTTCACCTGAGGATTTGCTGTTCTGTGATTTTATTGCACGTTTGACACATACAGAGTGTTAAGAGATGAAAGGTTAGCCTTAGGTATAGGAGAAACCTAAAATTTCAAAAGGAAAGTTATGATATGACTACGACTACGGTCTGTTGCTATTATTTTATCATCACTTTTCCCTATTTTAGGAATACATTAAATGTATAAATAAATGTATAAATCATAGAAACTCTTTATGATGTAGCAGAGTTGCACCATACGGGATCCCCAACATGGAAACAATTTTTGAATGCCATAATGGGGAGAGAACGGAGATATATAGTCTTCCTTTTTATATGCTTTTGTTTCCTTGATTTTCATTTGGTTTTAATTAAGCTGAAATGCTGCTATGGGAAATCATCACTAGTAACATTTTACTTGAAACAATTGATTCCAAATCAGGAAGTTTGTGGAACACCTACAGAACCCTTATCATTGCACTTTTTCTGTTGTTTTGTTTTGGTTGGTTGTTTTTTTTCTAGAGTAAATGTCCTTTCTTTAAAAGACTAGAAATTTACTCATCATCATGGGAAAAAAGAATAAGTTATTATTGAATAAGCTTTTTTTTTTTTTTTTTTTTTTGTCCTTTTAGCAAGGACATTGCAAGGACAAGGGGTACTGATAAATGTTTTTTAAAGAAAACTAATCCTTACTTAAAAGAATGAGCAATGTTTGGAGTGCTTGAAGGCTGTTAGTTGCTGTACAGTACTCTTCTAGCTCTCACAATAAATTTGTACAAGGGGGGAGAGCATTAATATGTGTTTTCTTTTTCTTTTTCCAGGCCATCCGCTGTACACTGGTAAATTGCACGTGTGAATGTTTTCAGCCAGGGAAGATTAACCTGAGAACCTGTGATCAGTGTAAACATGGCTGGGTGGCACATGGTAAGAAACGTGTGTTCTGGGCTGATCTTCCCTACTCTGTTGTTTCTGTAAATGCTAAGTATTGGAGCGATACAGACAGCAGTGATACCTATTTCTCTGAAAAGCTGTGCTCTCTGGGCTTCTGCAAGTGTCGGTACTTTTTTCACATCAATTTCTAGCATGGAAATATGATAGATTGGAAATACTATAGGTTACTGTGGCAATAGGTACCACTGGAGTTGGTACCTAGTTTGAGCTTGTGTACAACTGAAAAGTGTATCCTGACCTCCAGGAAGTTATCTGATTGTAGCAGATCTTAGCAGAAAGGGAAGAGTTTGTAGTTTGGTTGCACAGCAGAGTTTATATTGAAAATTAGCATTGGCCAGTAAATTGCTGAGTCCAATGGAAATTCAAATGTACCAATGTCAACCTTTCAGTGCTTGGATATCAGTAAAATCAGTGTATCCAATTCAGCTGAATGAAATACTTGATCAGTGTGTTGAACCTCTCTTCCCTATATTTAAATAGATGACAAAAGAATTGAGAGATTTAAATCCCTCTAAAAGGCAATAAAACACACTCCACAGGTCTTAGTTTTTATTTACACTCCACTATTTTGTGTATTTGTTGTTTTCTTGACAGTCTGAATTAAGATATGTTTAAGAGAAAGAAACAAAGCCAGACAAAATGAGGAGAAAAGTAAGGAGAACACCTAACATGGTTTAATTGAAAAGCAAAACAAAACAAACAAACAATAAAAAAAAAAAGAAAAAACAAAAGGAGTTCAAAAAAGAAAAAAAAAAGAGACAGCACAGAAAAATTAAACATATTTGCAGAAGAAATTTGAGATTTTTTCTTATTGTCCAGGCTGTAAGCTAGCGCAGTCTTCATTCTTCTCTTCTACCAGACATTCAGTGGGTTACACTTAATAAATTTTATTTTATTTTTATAAAACCTGGATTGGAAGACTAGTGTGCCTCACATGCACTTGATCTCTGCATATTTAGTACATGATTTTGAGTATTTTGCCTGAACTTTCTGAATTAGTGCATGTGTATGCTCAGCAAATTCAACAGCAACAAATGCCAGAGAAGTTTTTAAAAGATTCACACACCTGGAAAACAAATCAGGAATGTGGGCACAAAGCAGTTCTGTGTCACTTTGTTGTTGTATGTACAGCCTGCCTAATGGTAGCCTGACACCACCAACCTGGTAGTTGGTTACAGATTTGCTATGTACTAAATTCTGCAAGGGTACTGCCTGTTTTCACTCCTCTTAATTACTGGAAAGAAATCTTTAGTCACAGTATAACCAGGCTCACATTTATTGGAAGGACCTCTAAACCTCACAAAATTCTGGAGCTCATGCATGCTTCAGATTTTGTGCAGAATCAGCAACTGAGGCTTTGCTCATCCATTGGTAGGGAAGGCTTACCTAGGTATTTTCCAGCATGTCCTCCTGTTGAGTAAAAGGGGGTCTGGCACTTGGATTCTCGCACATAAGTATCCCAGTTTTTATTTTTAACCAGTACATCTCAGAAGATGATGCTCAAATTTTTCTAATAAGCACCCCTCTATTATGTTGTTGAATTAAAAATTAGTGTATGAGAGTAATCTGAGATAACCACAGGGCTCTGCTTTTCAAGTCCAGGATGTCAGAAGGTGAATGTAAGAATCAGTGATGCACCACCCTTTCCCATAACTGAGTACTTAACATTCCTAATACAAGACTTAATACAGTTATATATTATTGCAAAGTGCTTGTTTTACTGCAGTATTGCACAAAGAATGCTCTGCTATATTTTTTCTTAATGCTTTGTGTACAGTCATCTAGAGTATTTACATTTTGTGGTAGAGCAAGACTTGTCACATATATGTTTCGTATACTTCTCAAATCACAGGCATTTCAATTACTTTCTGGAGACTGTGATGGATCCACTTTCAGTTTTTGATCTTAACTGTTTTCCGCAATACTGAGGACAACATTCAGTAATCTGAACAATTCAGTGCACTGTATCACCTGGGTTTTAAAACGACTGAATCAGGCTGCTGTTCAGAAGTGATTTTCTTTAAACCATTAACACTGCGCTTTCGGAAGATGTTCCTTGAATGCAAATAGAATTTCCTACTACTTTAATTAAAGGGTTTCCTTCTGATTTTTATTAATGAATTTCAACTCAGATCCTTGACACATGATGTAGTGCTTCTCTGAATGTAATTATCAAAGAATAGGTGTTTCCAACAGGAAGTACCGTGCTTATTCAGTTCTGATAACCTAGAATCATAATTACCCAAACAGATCAAAAATAGCTTAGAACTGCAATCTTCTCACGCTCTACTTGACACATCTGTGCTGAATTAATGCATATTAATAGCTGCCATTTGAAATGTTGAAATTCTTGGAGTGCGCAGGAAAGGGCATAAAGCCCCCGCAGTATTATTGCACCTTGCAGCTGCTGGCCTGTGTTATTTTTGTATATATATTTTCCTATTTCTGATGTCTTTCTTATGTTTGTCTTTACTCGCCTGAAATGAGCTGCACACTTCTTGAAAGGAAAGGTTCCCTGCAAGTAAAGTATTTTCCTGTTTGGAGGTGCCATTGTAGGATGTCAATACATGAACAGATTCATCAGAGGAGTTCTTTTGTGGGAAGATAAATGATTCTGTTGGCAATAGCTCATCTTGCAAAGTTTTGACCACGCACCCTTCTGCTGTAGTGTTAATCCTACTGCCAGTGTCTTTAAGGCTGACGCCAAAAACTGCAGAGTATCACAGCATTCTAAAGAACTGCTGTGAATAATAGGGAATACATTATTTCTACTGTGAATCTCTGGATGTTTTAAGGGATTCATATAAATAGATTGTTCTTTTTTTTTTTTTCCAGCTGAAGTCTCACTTTCATATGGTCAGCTTGAATGGAGATTTATTTTCTATAAGAAAAGCTGAATGGTTTAAATTGGATAAACCATTTTCTAGACTTCAAGCAGGCAAACAGATGATTTTATGCTTTTTTCCTGCAATTTTTTAAGTGGTTAATATGCTTGGAATAGTCCACATGGTGAAAATTAAAATCTTATTAGAATGTTAATAGTAATTCTTTTTTAGTACAATTGATTTTAGCACAAGCAGTTGCTATTTTGTGGCCTTTAAATAGTGTAGGAGTAAGATGACTAAAAAAAATTGTCAAGACTTTCTTGATTGTTTGAATATTTTTGTCTCCCGATATTTTTGTTTTTTTACAAGTAGTATGCTATTCTGTATGAATTTAGTAAAGACACTTCACTAGTTTTGGCACAAAAAAAAGCTTCTTTCCTAGATTATATTGGAAACCATGAGAAAAACAAATCTTGCCACCCACTTTCCATTCTAAGTATATCTTAGTCTACTATAAAAAAAATTAAGCAAGTCTGCAGTCTAAAGATGTTGACATCATTAGCTTTACGTTATGTTTTGTGTGTCATTGGTATCAGAATAACAGTGACTGCACTGCTAATAAAAACACTTATTACCTGGTACTGCTGATCAAAAGACCAAGTGCAGTATCAATAGGAAATAGTGTCTACTCTTTGTAACCGTTTTGTTCCACTGAAGGATGTTGAGGTGGAATGCATCATAGTGCACTAAAGCTATTATGACATTTGTTCTACTTCTTTTAGTTTCTGTATCATAGACTTTGCAGAGATTTCAAAAGTACACAATATAATAATTAAACTGTCTAAAATCAGTGTTGTATTGTTTCGAAGAGAGTCAGAAAATGTGAAAATCTCATTCTCTGTCTTACCCGCAGACTAATCACTGGCAAAGCTCAATCACACATCAACAGCATGATTTTCAATGTTTTTATTGCAATATGCATTCTCAGACTACCTGAATTTCACACCATTCAGTCTATTCTGGACAGTGAAGTATCCTGTGAACGTTTTTGTTGTTTTCCTTCTTCTTACTTCTCTCTGAGCAATCTGGCTCTTAATTCGCTATTGATCTTTGCTGTCTCTCCCTCTGCACCATGCCTATCGGCCCATAGTACCTCTGTGAGGTATACCTCACAGTGTAAGCTACATATGCCCCCATCTCCAGCCAGAGACTTCACCAGGCCTTTTTCTGAGGAACTTCAAGTTCCTTTATGTTTCAAAATATATGCATTGACTAGTAGATTTCAGTGCACAGGGCAAATCCATCAGCCTTTTCCATCTACAAATCTGACACCTGGTGAATGCTCATGGTCAGAGTCTCAACGCCTTTCATCTTGTGAAGGAACTTTCCAGCTACCAGCGTTTGAATAAAGCATGTGCTGACTTGCTGTAAATTAGACTAACAGTCAAAACAATGGTCTCCAGCAGAAAATGGAGACTGTGCTGTTGTAAGCCCAAATGTATGATGAGACCGCAACTGCTTCTTTCTTAATGGCAGAGTGGTGAATTCTACATTCTAAAGTTGTCGTGTAATGGAAAGGTGAGGTGAGAGAAAATGAAAGGAACGCAGGAGCAAGTAAATAAAGAAAAGAGAAAGAGAAATCCTGTGGAAATGTGAGAAATTGCGTCCAAGTAGCTGAAAGGACTGGAACTGGAAAAACGGTTTAGATTTTAAATGTATGCTACATAGGAATGAGAGAGAAAGGAAGAGGAGCTCTATGTTGAAATAAAAACCAGCAGGGTTCCTGTGTTTGTCACTGTTCAAAGTTGCTAAGTGAAAGAAATCCAGGTTTGCAAAGTCAAAGGTCACTTCTAACAAAACAAAACAAAAAGCAAAAGCAGAATATGTCATACATCTTAGAGTCTCTAGAAGCTGGCAGAAGGGCCACGTTACTCTTTTCTTAAAAACTGGAAAAAGGATAGAGAATCAACACTAAAAAGTGAAAGGGAAATATAATCCTGTTATTATTATGTAGTGGTTAAAATAGATGGGTTATTTTTGTATTGTTCCATAATATTTTAGGAAGAGTCACAGCCTTAGCATACCAAGCATACTTTTTGTTTTGTTTTCAGCTTAGTTAATTCTATAAAATGCTTTAATATGACCTGA